GGATGAGATCCGTCCTGAGTACCTGAAGTCTCTGGATGTTGTGGGGCTGTCTTGGCTGACACGCCTCTTCAACATCGCGTGGCGGTCGGGGACAGTACCTCTGGACTGGCAAACCGGGGTGGTGGTCCCTCTGTATAAGAAGGGGGACCGGAGGGTGTGTTCCAACTATAGGGGGATCACACTTCTCAGCCTTCCCGGTAAGGTCTATGCCAGGGTACTGGAGAGGAGAATCCGGCCGATAGTCGAACCTCGGATTCAGGAGGAGAGCAGTGTGGTTTTCGTCCTGGCCGTGGAACACTGGACCAGCTCTACACTCTCCATCGGGTGCTCGAGGGTTCATGGGAGTTTGCCCAACCAGTCCACATGTGTTTTGTGGATCTGGAGAAGGCATTCGACCGTGTCCCTCGTGGTGTCCTGTGGGGGGTGCTCTGGGAGTATGGGGTTCCGGGGCCCTTTGCTAAGGGCTGTCCGGTCCCTGTATGACCGGAGCAGGAGCTGTGTTCGCATTGCCGGCAGTAAGTCAGACCTGTTCCCGGTGCATGTTGGACTCCGCCAGGGCTGCCCTTTGTCACCGGTTCTGTTCATTGTATTTATGGACAGAATTTCTAGGCGCAGTCAGGGGCCGGAGGGGCTCCGGTTTGGGGACCACAGGATTTCATCTCTGCTGTTTGCGGACGATGTTGTTCCTGTTGGCTTCATCGAGCCAGGACCTGCAATGTGCACTGGGGCGGTTTGCAGCCGAGTGTGAAGCGGCTGGGATGAAGAGATCAGCTCTTCCAAGTCCGAGGCCATGGTTCTCGACCGGAAAAAAGGTGGCTTGCCCTCTCCGGGTGGGTGGGGAGTCTTTGCCTCAAGTGGAGGAGTTCAAGTATCTCGGGGTCTTGTTCACGAGTGAGGGAAGGACGGAACGTGAGATTGACAGGCGGATCGGTGCAGCTTCGGCAGTGATGCGGTCGCTGTATCGGACCGTTGTGGTGAAGAGGAGCTGAGTCGAAAGGCGAAGCTCTCGATTTACCGGTCAGTCTTCGTTCCTACTCTCACCTATGGTCATGAGCTCTGGGTAGTGACCGAAAGGACGAGATCGCGGATACAAGCGCTCGAAATGAGTTTCCTCCGCAGGGTGGCTGGGTGCTCCCTTAGAGATAGGGTGAGGAGCTCAGTCACACGGGGGGAGCTCGGAGTAGAGCCGCTGCTCCTCCACGTCGAGAGGAGCCAGTTGAGGTGGCTCGGGCATCTGTTCCGGATGCCTCCTGGGTGCCTCCCTCGGGAGGTGTTCTGGGCATGTCCCGCCGGGAGGAGGCCCCGGGGAAGACCCAGGACACGCTGGAGGGACTATGTCTCTCGACTGGCCTGGGAACGCCTCGGGGTCCCCCCGGAGGAGCTGGAGGACGTGTCTGGGGTGAAGGAAGTCTGGGAGTCTCTGCTTAGGCTGCTCCCCCCGCGACCCGGCCCCGGATAAGCGGACGAAAATGGATGGATGGATGGATTCTGTTTGTGGGCTTATGTGGTTTAATTTGGGGAACTTGTGTTTTAGTTTAGTGTGTGTCCCTAAGTTTTACCACTTGTTTTTTTGTAAGCCTGCGTGACCCCTTTTGTGGCACAAAACTCTGTTTATTCTGTTGTTCTGTTTCTTAGTTTAAGTTGCTTTCTGTATATTTTTTGTCTTTTGTTAATTTACCTTTACATTCCTGTTAATTAAACATTACTTAATTTATTCCATTTTACATCTTGATTTTATTTTTGTTACTTCCCTCACCCCAAACGAGCTGGGTTGTAACAGGATGAATGTGCTTTGGCCGTTCAGACTGAAGTCACATGTCAAAAGATCAGATATCTATCAGTTTCAGGAGCACATATCCAAGTGTCCTGGGTCACATTTGAAAAAATCGGATCTGTGTCGTTCAGACTGCAGTCTGAACGCAGCCTTAGACAGGAGTAAAGTGACACTGTGGAACTTTATTATGACCTGTGAGGCAGAGAAGACCAGAAACAAGATGTGAAAATGAAATAAAATGTAAGAAAGACTTAAATATTTCTGATTTCTGTGATTTTTTTTAACACAGTCTTGTTTTTTTGTTTTTTTTATGGTCTTGGTCTCCTCTCGGACTGAGCACATTTGGACTCGGGTTTGCGGGTTTGTCTTGGTCTTTAAGGCACTTGGACTTGGTCTTGCCTTGAACTCGAGGCAATTATATTTCATTATTATTATTATTATTTCATCCACTGCTGTCGGCAATAAACTTGTACTATGTGTGCGGGGACGCGTGGGGCTTCTCTCTGCAGCCTCTGCCCTCGTCTGGAGCCCATGGACACTGTGCAACACGTCACAAACACACACCTCCCCAGCAGGCTGCTTTACCGCAACAGCATGTGTCCTCATGTACCAGCGTGTATCACAGGGCAGGTTAAACTTCTGAAAACATCCTACCTGTCCCCTGTCCATCTGCCTCATGTCAGCGCGCCGATGCTCACCTTTTTTATCAAGCTCATTACTTTTGGTCTTTTGGTCTGCTGTTATTAACTAACTACAGAATAATGAGACTTAAAAAAAAAAAAAAAAAAAAAGAAAAAAGAGAAAAGGAGCTCCAGCAGCAGCCCAGGGAAGCAGCTCTGTGCTCTTCTCCTTGATGAAAACAAAGCCAAAAAGATGAAAGGTCAGAGTCAAGACCGGAGTCATGTTCATTGTTCAGGGCCTTTTAAAGCTCTGATTTCAATGTTGAACTGTTCCTCTAATTGTATTGAAATATCTTAAAAGCTGTCCACATTTTATTTTGAATTTCACAGTGGTTTGATGGTACTAAATCAGGCATTAAGCTATAATAGCTAGTATTTTGTACCCACCATAAGTTATTTATGTGTTATAAGACTTGTGCCGTCCTCTGAGCGAGTTGGTCTGATGACCCGGAGACTCCGTCCTCCATGTGCGAGTTCCAGACGGGGGCGAATAAGACCAGTGCACATTGGACTGAGTGCGAGTGGGTCCGTGTCTTCCTCTGCATGCTGGATCCATGCGAGGAAAGGCAGGATGCAAAAAGCGCAAAAGTGCAAATCTGATTTGGTTCATTAAATGTTGTTCTGAGTGGTCCGTCCTCTGCACACTTGCTCTGAACGTTTGAACACTTAAGAATCTCAAAGCGAGTGGTTCTACTGTAGACAGGAAACAGCTGACACGCTGATGTGTCAGAGTCCAACCCGAACCCGCCGGACTTCAGTCGGGTTTCCATTATCTACTTATACTGTGCATAGTCAGGGTGCTGTCCATGGTGCTAAATGCAGCAGGTAGACAGGCAGGTAGGTAGTGTGGTAGGTGGATAGATAGTTATGCACAGGGCACAAAGTGCTTACGGGGGCACCAAGTGAATCCTTGCAAAACTACTGTTCATCATGGGCGTCTCCGGAATCATCCTCCGGTCCCTCTCTGTCACAGGCACGGATCCCTCCCCCCACCCCCCATCTGTAGGGGGGTAGGGCACCTGGATGGCAAGCTACGACTCTGATAATAGGCTATCACATTAATAATAATAATAATAATACTAATAATAATGATAATAATTCATGTTGGAAAAGCAGAATGTTTAAAAAAACATTGTAAAGTGCCCCTACTCCAACAATGAAAAGAAAAAAACATCAGAGTAGTGAGACACTTGAAAAATAATGTTTATGCTGCTATTCCGACAACTGGACATCAATGTCTTAATAACAGCATGTTGGAATAGCAGTATAATCTATATATATATATATATATATATATATATATATATATATATATATATATATATATAATCTCGCATATCCTCATCAAAATACATAGAGGACATGCATCTGTGGTTGTATTTGTGCGTTTACCATCAGCACATCGTGCTCCTGGGGCAGTTCTGTGTCGTGTGAAAGAACCCAGCTCCAGAAAGACTGTGAACTTGTTCATTTGAACTTTAATTTTGAAATCCTGGTGTTTGTCCTGGTCAATCTGTATAGAAGGTAAATACAAGCCTGTTCAGCTGTTAGTTTCACTGTGACCTGATACAAGTGACTAAACTCTCCCAGACACATCGGGCTGACCCCGACACAAACATGATACAAACTTTTTTCACCATCTTGTGCATCACCGTGTCAGAAGGGAGACCCAACGTGCATGCACTGAATGACTGGAATTATTTTTTAGGAGGAATAAACATTTACATGATCTTGGAATAAATTAATTCAGCTTTAAATTGGAGCAGATTTAAGTTTAATTCTGAATAAGTTTAATTCTGAATAATTATTAGGAATTAAGTGTTTACCTGGTCTTTTTAAAGCGGAATCATTTTTTATTCCGAATTACATTTAATTAAAATATTTTTATCGGAATTAAAGCTCACGTAAACGAGCCCCATTTTAAAGTTTATAAATCATTTTATAAATCTAACCCCATTTGATCAGATTTTAGACCTTCACCCACAGTTTGAGAAGCCCTTCTTTAATTCCACTTGCACTGGCACTTTACACTAAACTGCTTCAAAGTGAAGAAAGTAGGCAGGTTTTAGAAACCTGTTTTTTCAAATTCCTAACTGGAGTTGCATTATCTTATTGGTTTGACAGTGGGATTTAGCCTCTGCACATTTACCAAACGCACATCGTGACAAATAGATTTATTTGGCGTTTATGAGTCAAACCAGTCCACATGTTGCAGTAGGTCTGCTCTGTGCTGTAGACCTGCTGTGCCCACACTGGAGATTTCATTTAGATGAGTTTTTGCTTCACGTTTTGTATTGCCCTTCAAATCAACGCAACTGAGCCGAAGTGCTCTACATGCAGGGAGCAGAGAGAGAGCGTGAAAAGGTGAGGAGCAGCGTGCTGAAGTGATGGACAGGTAGGATGTTTAAAAAGTTGAACCTGTCCTGTGATACACGCAGGTACATGAAAGCACACACTGTTGTGGACAAACTGCACGTGCTATCACTGCATCATTTTTACACACATTACATTAACACACCAATATTACAATTACCAATGCACACAGTCTGTGTTTTAATCTGTACAATTCCATATAGAACTTATTCTTGTGTTGTTTTTCAAATTCTGGCGGCTCAGCTGCCATAGTTCCGGTTGCCATGACGATGTCATCTCACTTTATGACATCACAGATAATAGACTACAAAGCCCCTCACTTCTGTACAGGTTTTCGTACAAGTAAGACGTGTTTGTTTCCAGAGAGTGAGAAGCAGGAGATTTCGACAAATTCTTCCAACAACACTTTCAGTTTTAGTTCTACGAGAGAAAAACACGACAGAAATGGAACGTTCAACCCCAGGTAAGTTCAAGCCAGGATCTCAACTCTGTGTGGAAAACGTTGAAATGCAACACTGGTTTTGTTCCAGATTTGATGTTTTTTGGTGAACTACAGATTTAATTTCACACAATACACATTTTTCTGGTCAGTACATTGAAATTTCAAGTTTGAAAAGTTACAATATGTTTTGCGTCTCAACCAAAATGCAGTCACTTTGCATTGTGTTGTATGTACGCTGTACAGAAAGTACTGCAACTGTGATCAGATTTGCAATATATGTTTAAAAAGTAGGATTCTGTTCTGTGTGAACATAGAAACAAATCCAGGCACATTCACATGGGAGAGATCTGAACTGACAAACTAATACAAAGAGCCCATGGATTTCAGAACATGTTTGTAGAGCTCTTAACTACAGTGTGAGCAGCTTTTACACAGAATAAGACCCTGTAGAGACACAAAGAGGACATGTGACACACAGGAACATTTCAGGATATGTTTGTAAAAGTCGAAATGACTAAATAATTGCACCAACTCAAATTGTGATTTCGATCCGATTGTGAGATCTTGGGCAAGCCTTGATGCATGTTAGGACATTTGATTAACTGATTATTTGTACTTTTGTGATTTTTGTCCAGAATTAAGGCGCAGTGTCCGTCTTCAGGAAAAGGGTTATTATGGACCACAGGACAAATCCGTCATCAGCTACAAGGAAAGACTCTTCAAGTAAGTTTGAGTTCTGTGATATAAAAAGAGCTTCATTTCAATAGCAGAGTACAGGGCTGTGGTAACAATGGGACCACACTGGGACCAGCGGTGAAAAGTAAAATACTAATGTTTCTGTAGTTAAGTAGATTTTGGGGGATAATTGTGACTAAAAGCTCACAAGAGTCAGTTTTGTGTAATATAGGATCTTTAAGCTCATACTGGACTGTACTACACTTGGACTTGTGACTGAGTACAGCTTTAACTAAGTAACTGTACTTTTACTTAAGTAACTCAGTCCCTAGAATCCCAAATGACACTGAACTCTACTTTTACTTTTACATTTCTACAAAATGACTCATTCCAAATGTTTTCTTGTTTGCAGAGTCTTCAAGCGACGAAGGCAGAGACAGCGTGATGATGAAAAGCATCACTTTGTGCCACTGCCACTGCCACTGCCACTGCCACTGCCACTGCCTTCTCGAACTAATTCAACCAAACAGCCAAAGCCCAACTACCTGCCCACACAGTTTGAGGTTTTGGTCATGGTGTTGTTCATCCTGCTTGGAGCCATCCGTCGCACTTTATACACTGCAGGAAGATGGTAAGTAACATGTCCAAAATACTTTTCATTTAAATGAATTCTAACTTGAAAAGCGTGTAACCCATGTTTTTGTTGTATTCAGCTTTTCGGAGAGAAGCAGGAGGTGCAGGAGGTGCAGGAGGTGCAGGAGATGCAGGAGGTGCAGGAGGTGCACTAGGAGGGGACAGAGCAGTACTAGCAGCAGGAGATGTAGGACGTGTAGGAGGTGTAGGAGGTGTAGGAGGTGCAGGAGATGCACCAGGAGGGCACAGAGCAGTACTAGCAGCAGGAGATGCTCCACTGATGGTAAACTACGCTCTTCTGTCACAGCGTAAGTATCAAACCTCTTACAAACATGTCTTTAATTACACTACACCTGACGGCTACTGGCTCTGTTTCATCCATTTGATTTCTATAGTACATTTTATAAACAAATGAACACAAACATAAACCTTGTCCTTTAAGAAACTACACAACAAAAATAAATACATGCAAGTATATTTCATGAAGTGAAAAATGTGGTGACTTCAAATGTATTTTAAAAGTCTCAGTGTACAGTAGAAGAAATGGTTTGACTCGCTGACTAAATCCAAAAATGGATCTTTGTCTCATTTTCCCCCACAGAGGCCACAGTTCTCCGATCTCGCTCTAGCCCCACCTACTTTCGACACGGTGTATTGGAGATGATCCAGTGGCTGTTGTGCTCCAAACATCTCTTTGTGCTGCGCCCTGATTCCCCCCTGATCCCCGGCTACTGCTGGCCCTTCGCTGGAGACAAAGGACACCTTCACATCCAACTGGCCCAGAACATCCAAATTACCCACGTGACACTGGGGCACATCACCAAGACCCAATCGCCAACCGGGGAGACCACATCGGCACCCAAGCACTTCGCTGTCTACGTAAGTCATGGGTTCTGTTCTATTTATTTTGTTTTATTGAAGCTGGTATTTGTAATTTGGAAAAGTGGAAGTAGATAGATGGATACTGTATTTCTAAACACGTCCAGAAGAATTGAAAAAAAGACCAAAATATGACTGAAACTGAAAACTGACTGATCGAAACTCCAGGGTTAACTGTTTTTGTATCCTAGTTAATATTAGTTGAACTTCATTTGGTCCTCCTGTTTCAGTCTCCTTCATTCCAAATTGTTTAAGATCAATTTTATCTTGAACCTAAAATCTGTTTAAGTCCTGATGTCCTTATTTAATCCACACATTAAACTAAACATCTGATTTTCTTCTTTTTTTAGGGGAAGACGACGTTGGATGGAACGGAGCAACTACTCGGACGATTTTTCTACGACACGGGGGAACCGGGTTTCCAAACGTTTGCGATTTCAGGAGGGAAAGGTGTATCTTTTAAACATGTACGACTGCAGGTGGAGTCCAACTGGGGCAACACGGAATACACCTGTCTGTACAATTTTAAGGTGCACGGAACACCTGCGCCCCCTGTCGGCCAAGTCACGCCCCCTCAACAAGGACAGTGTCATTGATAATACTTTATCAGAACTGATCTTGAACAGAGTGGACCGGTCGGCTTTGTGGAAAGAGGTCAGCAGATCCACTGTTTGTCTCAAAATCAGCATGATGAGTATTGAAACCCATTGTGTATATGAGGGCTGTTCTGTCTATCCTCTCCCCTGAGTCTTCCACAAGCAACCATGATGGTGACCTTTCACCCCCCAGGAGACGCACAGGAGGCCAACGTTGGATCAGTTAATCTGAGATTGGATTTGATGTGGTTTAGTTCCAGCAGCCTATAGACCAGGTTTGGATCTGGTGTTAGACCTGGTTCAGACCTGGTTTAGTCTTCGTTTAGACCTAGTTTAGTCCTTGGTTTAGACATGGTTTAGTTCTTGTAGCCCTGACCCAATCACGCTGAGGCAGAGGCGCCCTCCTGTGGCCTGGATCTGCCAGAGGTTTCTTCCTCAAAGGGAGTTTTTCCTCTCCACTGTCGCTCTGGAGGTTAATGGGTCAGTTTTAGACCAGGTTTAGATCTGGTATAGACTTGTATACTATAGACTACGGAAAAGGGAAAGATAAACCTGAAGACTGGAACTACCGCATCTGAAAATTGGAAAATAAAAACCATTAAATTAAATATTGTTTGTTTTAATTTCTCTGTTAAGTAAAAAATATTGTCAAAGAACTCTAGTGCACTCACAGATTTACATGAAGGCCAAAGTAAACTGCACTGATTCTGTGTCTGTTTATTGAATCAAGTTTCAGTTGAGTAAAGATGAAAAAAAAAAAAAAGACTTTCAAAAAAGTCATTCTAGCTTGTGTGCATTTCTTTCTCTGTTAATTTCATTACTGGTTCTGCCAGTAAGTGATTTAATAGACGACATTTTCAAAAATACATTGGAAAATTTACAGATTTCAGAAAAGGGGCGATATCTTGATATTTTAAATATGTGGAGATATTTTTTAAACACAAATTGGATTCGGACAGATCGTATATGTCTATATATTTAATTCTGAGCTTGCTGCTTCGCTTGTTTGCCCCTCCCCTCCCACGCTCCCCTCCCCCCAAAGTTGGTGCCAACTAAAAGCTTCAAGCACCACCAACCTTTTCCACCATTTACAGACTCCCCATCAGCAGCACATCCTCTGTCACAGAGAGAACACTCATATTCCACTGAGAAACTGACTGCATAAACTGACTGTATCTGGACGACTGAAGGATTACACAACATGAACATGAAGCTTTTGAAGCTTTTGACACTTACAGACTCAGTCACCAAAAGAGGAACCAAAGCAAGGAATAAAATAGTGAGTCCTCGTTTTGCCAAATCCCCAAACATAAACAGCGAAATTACCAAATTACCAGTACAAATTTAGCTTTTGATTCTTACTGTAAATATATATATTTTATATATACATATATAATTTAGTTTTACAAGATGCAAGGTTGGATGCACCATTTGTTATGTCTAAAATATTCCACAGTGTGTCAGTTTAGTGTTGGTGTTGGACATAGTTAGGACGACTGTAGAATGTGTACTGGGACAATTCATCCAGACAATAAATACTCCGGTCAGAGAGTAGAAACAGAACCAGAACATATTTTGGAGCTTTAATGTCCTGTCTTCAATTTCTTAATCTGTGGTTTGATTTCATCTGAACTATCCTTTCATCTGAACTATGTGTTTATCTGTACTATCCTTTTGTCTGGTAATCTAGAGGAACATTTGAATCATTTTACTAACTGAAGTTACACACACATATAATCAGTCTATGAATAACAGTTAAACACTTTACATCAACAATCAGGTAAATTAATTAAATTAATCCAGTGCATAAAGTTAATTGGCATCAGAACATTACAAAGCAATTAAAGAAACAATTAAACAACTAATTTACTAATCTACATTTACACTGAAACGAATCCACGTATCACTGTATCATCGTACCGCCGTATCGGAAATTATCTGCGTCCAGACATGTCGTTTCTGTGTCCGTAATCAAAATCTTCCTCGTCCACACGGTAACGCAAAACTGCCTGAAATGCTAGTCACATGATAGGCTGGAGTCACGTCGTCACAGCGTCCCGATGTCACGTGAGCGGTAAAAACAAGGAAGTCTGAAATTGCAGCAGCTGATTTTGAACTGAGGGAGATGGTGAGTGTAAAAACAGTTTTCTTTTCATAGACCGACGACCAGGTTCAGTTGTTACTTAGTGTAAAACTGGATTTTAAGACGAGCATGTTGGCTCAGAGTGAGGACTGACTCGCTTCTGTGTCCGCAATCCTTTCTTATCCACACAGCTTTGAGCATGTTTGTTTACGTTTTACAGAAACAAAACTTAAAACCACATGGCTAATTTGCATAAACTAAGCTCAAAAAAACAGCTCACTATTATGCGCTGATGTGGTTCAGCTTCTGTCAGACTAAAGGACCCGACTCAGTGGAATATGAGTGTTCTTTCTGTGACAGAGGGGTGTTCTGTTGATGGTGAGTCTGTTCTGTGTTTCTGTCGTGTTGGAGATGGTTCATGTGAAACTTTTCAGAGATTATACATCTGCAGGTCGTACACACAGACACACGTTTATATGAATGGACACATATTCTAGCCTCTTAGCGTTTTGGCGGTGAATTACTTTGTGGTGCATAGAACCAGATGAATGTACTCAGATGAATTCGAGGGAGCTGGTGGCACCAGATCGTTCCGTCTCTGGAGCCGTTTTCAATGGGCTCTACTAGTGTGGATGGGGTCTAACAGTAACAGTGTTACCATGGTGCTAAGGACCCCTGAGCTGTTTACAGAGGCCTGATTAAAACAAACAGATCCCTTCGAGAATAGACAACAGCTAGTGAAGAAATGTGAGCTACAGGTTTAAAATCATATTGAGGAACATTCCAGGTAGGGTGACCAGATTTTCAAGATTAAAAACTGGGACACACCCGGGTTGGGATGGTAGGTATAAATAAAATAGTGAAAAAAAATGTGTAGCACCGTCCATTCTGTGTATAATCTGAGACAAAATACAGAAGTGCAGTCTTCTGGCTATACTAGTTTGTCAAAGCCTGATCCTATCAGATCTCAGAAGCTCAGCAGGACCGGGTCTGGTCAGTACTTGGATGAGAGACACTGGGAAAATCAGGAGCCACAGGGGGGCGCCAGTCGTAAAAAAAAATGTCATTGTGTCCTTAGGCAAGGCACTTCACCCTCATTGCCTCGCATGAAAGTGGTGTGTCTGTGTGAGTGATGGTGGTGGTCGGAGGGACTGATGGCGCAGACTGGCAGCCTCACTTCCATCAGTCTGCCCCAGGGCAGCAGTGGCTACAATAGTAGTTTACCACCACTGGGTCTGGAGAGACTGAATAATGCTCTGTAAAGCGTCTTTGAGTGTCCAGAAAAGTGCTGTATAAAACTGATGCATTATTATTATTATGGATTTTGGCTAAGCAAATGCAATTTATGCTCCTCTGGTTTGGACCTGGTTTAGACCTGAAATAGACCTGATATAGTCCTGGTTTGGTCCGAGTTTAGACATTGTTTAGACCTGATATATTTCTCTTTTAACCCTAGTTTATTCCTGGTTTAGACTTGGTTTAGACCTGATATATTTCTATGTTACAGACCTGCAAACTTGTCGCTTTTCAGCTACAATCGCCTTTTACTTGGTCAATAGGGTCATTTATGTGGATCACATAGAACCAGAGAAGTTTTTTTTTTTTTTTTTTTTTGGGAAGGGTTCTGATTGGACAGAGACATGAACTTATTTACGTCTACCGGAAGAAAACACACACTACAGCTGCTACTGGCTTTTCTGTCATCTCGGCTTGTCGTTACGCCTGGGGATACATCAATACAAACTGGGGAACAGTGGTCTAAACCAAGACTCCTCAACCATCGAGGAGCAGCTCCAGTTCAGGTCGGGCCCAGATGAGCTGGAGTGGGGAGTGATGTTAGGTACCTCGGCCTGAGAAGTGCTTTCCTCGGGAAGAACCAAATGTGTGAAGGAAGGACTGCCCAGAACAGTATATAACCAACCAAATGGGATTTGCGCTTCTGTCTGGATATTTTGCACCACCTTGCTCCTGGCCGCAGTCCTCGAGCACAGAGGACAGTAGCAACCCACCCGGACCTGTAGTCCACAGTGTCTTACTTTCGCTGCACAGATCCCATGCGCAGAGAACGGCACAAAACCGCTTGGACCCAGTCCATATTACACTGGTCTTGCTGGTCCCCTCTAGAACCAGTACATAGAGGACAGAGCCTCTGTCGACATCTCACGACACCAACGCACTCGGAGGATGGCACAAGACCACTGCACTGCTCCACTGCACGCGTCAGCATTTACATGCTTAACCTCACGAAACCACAGCCTCAAGTCAATGTGAGGGTGGCTCCAGCAGTTGCTCCAGCAGGACGTATACGCATGGCTCTGGCTCTGTGTTTCCAACTAGACTGGGAGCGTTTAACCACTTGTATCAGTTCTACATTGAAACTTAAGGGCCTGGCTCCACTGCACGTGTATTTTGCCCAACACGAGCGTAAAAATGGCAACTTTTGGATGTGTAATTTTTAGAAACCACTAAAAGTGAATGAGGGCGGCTCCAGTGCACATATGGAGCAGCACGTCCTGCTCCATATGTGCAGATTATACATTTCAGAGAATAGGATCCTTCCTATTTTTTGACGCTCTGTGTGTAGGCGCGTATCAGGGTACAACCCTTATTCCGACATACCGCCACTCTGACAGACCCCCACCTAAACATACTGTCATTCCGACAACCCTCCACACCGACATGCCCCTATTCCGACACTTTCTGATGCCGCCATTCCGACACTGATGAACCAGAACTAAACCAGCACTAAAAAAAGGACTAAAGCAGAACTGAACTAGGACTAAACCAGAACTAAACCAGGTCTAAACCAGGACTAATCTTGGACTTGAGAGACAGAGAGGGTAGAGCAGTTGACAAAGTAAATGGTAAATGGTCACATTTTTCTTTAGCGCTTTTCCACCAAAGTGTGTTTGGGCGATGGCTGGGCTTTGCCCTGTGAGGCGCCAAGCTCTGTGCCAGTCCTTTCGCCCACAGTCACCCGATGGTCTACACAGGTGCACCTCTGGGCCCGACACTCCTGTCCTGGTTCAGTTCTGGTTTAGTCCTGTTTTAGTCCTGGTTTAGACCTGGTTTATTTATTTTATGCTCAACTACAGCCAAATATGCACAAATTTCTATCCTATGCACATGAATATTTCTCAAAGTTTTCATTCCAGATTTGATCTCATCAAACAGCAGCATGTAGCCTAAACTTTGTACGTAACTCACTGCACATCAGCCCGGAGCAGAAGCAGAGTCCAGGCAACAGCCGTTCTCTGCATGCTGGATCCATGCAGGGAAAAAGAGGATACACTGTGGACTACAGGTCTGGGTGGGCAGCTCCTGTCGCTGGTGTGAGGTGGTGCAAAGCATCTGGACAAAAGTGCAAATCTGATTTGGTTCATTAAATGTTGTTCTGAGTGGTCCGTCCTCTGCACACTTGCTCTGAACGTTTGAACACTTAAGAGTCTCAAAGCGAGTGGTTCTACTGTAGACAGGAAACAGCTGACACGCTGATGTGTCAGAGTCCAACCCGAACCCGCCGGACTTCAGTCGGGTTTCCATTATCTACTTATACTGTGCATAGTCAGGGTGCTGTCCATGGTGCTAAATGCAGCTGATAGACAGGCAGGTAGGTAGTGTGGTAGACAGACAGACAGACAGACAGATATGCACAGTCTGGAATCACCCCCGGTCCCTCTCTGTCCGGGATAGCAAACAATTTGATATAAACCAGGACTAAACTAAGACTAAACCAGGACTAAACTAAGAGTAAACCAGGACTACATCAGGTCTAAACTACGTCCAAACCAGGACTTTACTAAAACTACACCAGGACTACATCAGGTCTAAACCACGACTTCAGGTCTAAACTAAGTCTAAAACAGGACTACATCAGGTCTAAACCACGACATCAGGTCTAAACTAAGTCTAAAACAGGACTACATCAGGTCTAAACCACGACATCAGGTCTAAACTAAGTCTAAAACAGGACTACATCAGGTCTAAACCAGGACTAAACTAAGAGTAAACCAGGACTACATCAGGTCTAAACTACGTCCAAACCAGGACTTTACTAAAACTACACCAGGACTACATCAGGTCTAAACCACGACTTCAGGTCTAAACTAAGTCTAAAACAGGACTACATCAGGTCTAAACCACGACATCGGGTCTAAACTAAGTCTAAAACAGGACTACATCAGGTCTAAACCAGGACTAAACTAACACTAAACCAGGACTACATCAGGTCTAAACTACGTCCAAACCAGGACTTTACTAAAACTACACCAGGACTACATCAGGTCTAAACCACGACATCAGGTCTAAACTAAGACTAAACCAGGACTACATCAGGTCTAAAACAGAACTACATCAGGTCTAAACCAGGACTAAACTAAGACTAAACCAGGTCTACATCAGGTCTAAACCAGGACTACATCAGGTCTAAACCAGGACTAAACTAAGACTAAACCAGGTCTACATCAGGTCGAAACCAGGACTAAACTAAGACTAAACCAGGTCTACATCAGGTCTAAACCAGGACTACATCAGGTCTAAACCAGGACTACATCAGCTCTAAACCAGGACTAAACTAAGACTAAACCAGGACTACATCAGGTCTAAACCAGGACTAAACTAAGACTAAACCAGGACTATATCAGGTCTAAACCAGGACTAAAATAAGACTAAACCAGGACTACATCAGGTCTAAACCAGGACTAAACTAAGACTAAACCAGGACTACATCAGATCTAAACCAGAACTACATCAGGTCTAAACCAGGACTAAACTAAGACTAAACCAGGACTACATCAGGTCTAAACCAGGACTAAACTAAGACTAAACCAGGACTACATCAGGTCTAAACCAGGACTAAACTAAGACTAAACCAGGACTACATCAGGTCTAAACCAGGACTAGATCAGGTTTGAAAAGTGTTTGTAGTGGACGTTATAAAGAGCCATGGACAGAGCTAAACCTGTGGATCTTAGATGGGAATAAAACAGAAAGGAGAATGAAATCACAACTGTTAAGAAGCAATCGGCCATTTTATTTCAAACAAAACATCTTAGAATAAACAATACATTTGATTTTTTTGTAATGTGGTTCATAAACTGATACTGTAGGCCCCTCTTTTTCCTGAATTGATCGTTGTACTGTACTCGAGTTCATTGTAGTGCACACAGCATCAGGTTTGGTGGGACAGGCTGTGTCTGGATGTCCGCACTATTCCCTCTTTGCAAAACTATTTATGGGTCACGCCATTTTTAGGGGTGTCCAAATGTCCAGCGAGTGAAAAAATAGAGCACTCAAAATTTCCCACAATCCACCTTGAAAAGTTGTGGGCACATATGTACTACAATGCACTGTGAGAGTCTGGAACAACGGCGTACAGCGACAGGTGAAGCAGAGAAAAGCGCTGGTTTATGGCTCTGATCCTGATTCTGAATAAAACACAAATAAATAAAGTGATAATTTCCACATCTCAAACAAAAATCTAATAATCCAGTCTGTTTATGTGAAATCCAGCGTGGCAAAAACTCGTCTGATTCTTATTAGTCCATAAACACTTGTGTCAGTCTGATATGATCATTATTTATGACAGAAGTTTTATCAGAGTTTAGTGGATTTTTTTTCACCCAGACATTCAGAGTCACGTGATGCTGCGAGTCCAAGTCTCTGTGTGCACTGTAGAGGGCGCTAAAGAGTGCAGGACGGAGGAGTGAATGAAGGGTGAGGGGCGGGGTTAGGGGCGAGGGGACACTCAGAGGGGACATTCAGACACAGCTATAGTTTTACATCTGTTAAGTGGTCATTTGTGGGAAAGAAGTTGAAAAGAAAAGTACAAATATACAGGAAGTAATCCTGAGTTCTAAAACAGAACTAATACTTTGCAGATGATGACAACATTCCATGGGGGTGTGATTCTACCTGTAGACTCTGCTCTTTAATCTGAGCTTTATTTAACACAATCTGACTAGAATATAGTTTGTTTGTTTAGCTTGATTTAGTTGGAACTACAACAGATTTGTGTTTTACAGATTGTTTGCTAATGTGTGCATTGTGTCACCATAGTAACTCTTAAACATTTCACCATTAGAGATACATGTAGAACACCCCCAGTGTGATGTTACTGCAAAGTATCAACCTCTACATATGTCGTCATCACAGAAAATTACATCCAAAATGCAGGGAGCATTTACACCTGAGGGACACACTTTTCTGACAGTTTAAACTTTCATTAAAAACAAATACATGTTTTAATGTATTAATCTAATCATAACTGTTGCACAATTTAGACACATCATGGTCCCTGTTAACATTATGGTTGCTAGGTAACAGTAAACAGTAAAACTTTACATAATGTCATTTCTCGTGGCAGCAGTGGAATAGCCCGATATATCCAGGTGACAAGGAGGAGCAGGAGGAAGAGCCAGGAGAGACAGTCCCCCTTTTAAGCCAGTTTTTATTTTTAAGAGCTCTAGCATTTTATCCCTTTTGAGCCGGAATGGATTTAGTAATAAATGGTTTTATTGTGATTTTATATTTTACTGTAATAAATTCACTGTAAATTTTTACTCTCTTGGTTTTTAAACAGACCCATGTTTAGGCTCCGGGATGTGTTATTAACTCATTGCTGTGTTATTAGGATGTCATTAATGTGTGAGGTAAGTGGGGAATAAATGAGTTAATTAAAAATGAAGTAGTTCTATACTCAACATAAACCAGGTAAAAACATCAGATTTTTTTTGACAGTTAAAAGGCAAATTTTACCACAGATTTCTGACCTGTAGAATGTGTTTATGTGCTGTACACTTACATTTTCCTGACCAAACAGGCTTTCACGTTACATCACAACTTTGTACAGTCCCTATAGTTTAACCTGAGCTGGAGACAAGCCAGAATTCTATGGCAGAACTGTCTGTGTAACTGTCAGATTGCAGATTTGTTCTGTTTTATGGATAATATCTCGGAAAGTACTGGGCCTATCCACATAAAGAACAAATAAATAAAGGTGGGATCTTTTTTTTCCCCAACAACTTCATATGATGCATATGGCAAATTTGTGGGCCCAGTTCTTAGCAAATATTGGCTATTGAATAGATGCATCAAGAATGTCGGACTTCTGGTCATCGCACAATTCATACTGGGAAGGATTTTCCAAAAAAGTGAGCATCAAACCTCCATGTTTGATTTCCCAGAGGGATGAGTCTATTGACAAAGTCAATCTTTTCAAGTCTTTTGAACCATAACACTTTTGTTTCTGGTTCAAGACGGTGTGCGGGATTTTTCTCCATGTTCTCAGAAATGAATTCACAAAAACAACAGGGTAGTCTTTTCTGTGTGACAAATGTAATTTTGTTGTTTTGTAAGATTTTACATTCTATTTTAGATTTTTAAGTTAGTAATTAGCATGACAATACTAAGATGTGCTATTCCAAAGACAGAAGTGTCCTTCAGTGGAGTTTTCTCATTTGTAAAGTGTTAAACATGTTGTCAGTGACATCCACCTGCAGCTCCATGTCCACTGCCTGATCTGTTAGGGTTTAATGATTTTAGCACACTTCAGCTTAAACCTCATACAGATATTAAAGTGTAAAAGGTCATGAATACTCCTCAAGAAACCAAAGCTGAGTGTTTTTCATACTAAGCTTACATAAGCAAGATGTTTGTTGTTGTTTTTGCAGCATCTAGAACAAGTTGTTGTTCCTCGTGAAGTATGAACTGGCCTAAACCCAGGATACTCTGTGATAATGGTTTATAAAATCACACAGCCTGAAGTGTCCTTTTCCTTCAGAAGATCCTGTATCAGGTCCTCTAACTCTTTCTCTTGCTTTGTCAGCAGTGTCTCTTTTTCGTCTTCGTTCAGTGCACTTTTGATTTGTTCTTCATGTTTCTTCAATAACTTGTGTATCTTAGTGACATTATCTTTGTTTTTGGACACACATTTAATGATGTCATTGATTTCTCTCTGACGGGCCTCCATCTTTTCTCTTTCTTTGTGAGCTGCAAGAGCCTTTAACAGGTCATACTTTTCATCCTTATCTTTGATACTCCTCTGATACTCCTTCTTACGCTCTTCTAACTCACTGGTGAGTTTCTTTTCAAACTCATTACATTCTTCAGCTTTGCTTCTGGCCTCCTCTTTGTACTTATCCTTTTCCTTCTCCATTTCTTTCAGTTTGGTTTGATACTTCTCCTCTAACTCTTTCATCTTCTTCTCCTCTTCTTCACGTCTGAGTTGTTCCTCTTCCAGTCGTTTATTTAACTCCTCTCGTTCAAGTTCATATTCTTCTTGTTTTTGTTGATCTTCTCGTTGTCTCTTTTCATCTTCCAAGTTTCGCTGTTCCCACCATTCTCTCTTTTCTTTTTCCCATTGCTCTTTCTCCGTCACTATTTGCTTTCTGTTCTCCTGGAGTTTTAATTCAATTATTTTGTTTGATTTTTCCTCTAATCTGATTCTTTCCTCTTGTTCTTTATATCTCTGTTCCAGTTCTTGACACTTTAGCTCATCTTGTTCCCTCCTCTTTCTCTCTTCCTCTTCTCTCCTTTCTTGCTCTCTTTTCTGTTGCTCTTTTGCCTCTTTAATCTTTTCATTGAGCTGTTGTTCTCTTTGGAGTTTCTCCTTTTCAAACTCTTCTTTTTGTCTCTCAAATTTTATTTTTATTTCTTCCATGTCCTGTTTATATTTTCTCTCCATCTCTTCCCTCTCTTTTCTCATCTCTTGGTCCTTCTCTCGGAGCAGTCTCTGTGTTTCTTTGTTGATGGCCGCCTCAGCCTTTTGCAGCATGTCATTGGTGTAGTTTCTTCCTCCATTCTCCTTCACCATGTTGTCGATCTTCTGCAGCAGCTCACTGACCTGAGTGCGGTTTGTCTTGTTGCGGTTGTTAAACACATGGTACCTGTTTCCACACTCAGACAGGAGCTGATTAAAGGAATCATAATCTTCTCCCTCTATGTACTTTTCAATGGACATATTATGTTCCTCCAGTTCATCACCATGAGTGAAAAGAATAATTGTAAACTGAGCAGCGTCTTCCCCAAACCCTTCCTTTATAAGTCGTATTGCTTCTCTCTCTTCTGCTGTAAATCGGTCAATTTTTATAACTAACAGAAAGACGTGTGGTCCAGGAGCCAGCAGATTGATGCATTTCACCATTTCCTTATTGATCTCCTCATGAGACAAGTTTGTATCGAACAATCCAGGAGTGTCCACCACTGCAACACAACGTCCGTCAATATTTGTGTTAACTTTTTGGCAGAGTTTGGTGACTGAATGTCGACTAAGTTCAACATTAAACTTCTTCTCTCCTAGAATGGTGTTCCCTGAAGAGCTCTTTCCACAGCCGGTTTTTCCTATTAGTACAATCCTTAAACAGTCAGAGCTCTGGTCATCTTTGCCTGTAAAATTATAAAATATATACAATTCACATTCAACAATAAAAGAAAAAAAAAAATATATATATATATATATATATATATATATATATATATATATATATATAAATATATATATATTACATAAATTGAATGTAATACTTACTTCTGGCAATGCTCCTGGACTTCAGCTTCTGTATTTCCTCATCTTGGGCCATCAACTTGTCAAACTGACCTTGTACCAGTGACACTGGTGTATATCCTTTTGCAGCATTCTTGTCTCTCAGAGCCTCTGCATGAGCCAACAGCCCAGGGACCTGCTGCTGCCCCCTGGTGTTAAAGATAAAGTAACCTCCTCCACAGTGCTCATAGAACTTCTGGATGTCACTGTCTCCTTTGACAAAGTTAACCACAGCTGGAGCAGAGGGGTCTGAGTCTACAAACAGAATCATAGAGAAGACCTTGGCTTGAGAAGTGAGACTGTCCTGAATGACCTTCAGCTCTGCTTTGTCTTCATCCGTGAGGGGACGCACAGGTAGGACCAAGATGAAGACATGAACTCCCTCTGGACCACATCTGGAGATGCACTGGAGGCACTGCTGCATCACTTCCTGTTGAGCTTTGTCAGACAGAGCTGGCAGTTCCACCAGAGACACCTCACGCCCACACACCTCCAGCTCATGTTTCACACACTGTCCTGTGCTGCTCACTGCAGGGAACTCTGCTCTCCCTAAAATGGACTGAGTTACTGAGGTCTTCCATCCTCCAGGTCTCCCACACAGAACCAGGTTCAGAGCTGGTTTCTTCTCATCAGTGAAGGTGAGGAATGACTTCTGTTTATGTATAATGAGGTCAATCTTTTCCATTAACTTATCAAGATCTTTGTCTAACATGTTATAATATTTTCCTTCACAGTCGCCAATGAGATTATCAGCACATGTCCTTAGATGATCCTCTTTGTTAGTGAGAATAACCATAGAGTGTTTAAAGACATCAGGACCAAAACACTTTAGAATGGACTTGAGTTGTTTTCTGTCTTCCTCTGTGAAGTTAGACGGCTTCACTAACAGCAGCAGGATGTTGGGTCCTGAAGAGCACAGAGACACACATCTCTTCATTTCTTCTCCCATAGTCTTCACAGAGAGACTGGACAGGTCTGGGGTCCTCACTACCTTTAGATGGTTCCCTCTCCATTCCCCAGAGGCTATTTTGCCAGGTTTTGCAAAGGTTTGAGCTCCAGTCATGAAGTTTGTGAGCTTGGCCTTTTTGACATCACTTTTTCCAAATAGCAGAATAGTGAAGTCTGTAAAAGACAAAGAAAGAAAGAAACAAAGGAACAAACAATACTAGCTAGTAATTAAACTGTATGTTGATGGTGGCTTACCTTTAGGAGATCCAACAAATGCAGTGATTCCTACAAAATAAGTATTTCATGAATGTTTAGTACAGTAATTAGAAGCTAATGACTTCACATAATAGCTACATTTACTATCTACTAAAGTCTGCTCTTACCGGCACTTACTACTGCTCCCACCAGTGACTGCTTCTTCTCAGTGGGTGCCTGTGGTGCAGACTCAGGGTCCTCAAATGGTTCGTAGAGCAGAGGGTTTACATTCTGTTCTTTTACTATTTTAATGATTCTTGTTAACAAAAGTCTATGTTTGAAGGACTCTTTTTTGTCTAAATCAATAATATTCATCCAAAGATATTCATATCTGCATTTGATGATCATGTCCCTTAAATGTGGGTCGTCCATGTACTTCTCCATGTAGCCTGGAGTCTCTTCTCTGGGTGTGGACACCAGCACCAGAGAGTGGTCAAAGGCCTGCTCACTGAAGCTCCTCAGAACTGACTCTAGTCTGGTTTTGTGTAGCTCAGTGAAGTCTTCAGGCTGTAGAACCAACAGGAACACATGAGGACCAGGGGCACAGGCGTCTGCTATCTCTGTGACCAGCTCTGTGAGTCGGACTGCAGAGAGGTTGTGTTTAAACAGGTCTGGAGAGTTGATGACAGATATCTTCTTCTCTTGAAGTTCTCCACTTTGTATCTCAGGACTTGCAGGTTCTTTCTTTGCTTGAAACTTTGTCTCATTCAGCAGCAGGTTTCCCACAGAGCTCCTCTGAATCCAGCTGTTCCCGAGGAGAACCACCCTCAGTTCAGACACTGAAAACACACAATTATATATCTGTCAGTGGAACATGAGGTGTGAGAGTTACAAACTGCTACAACAACTAAAACTTTTACTCTATCAAGAAGGAGATGAGTCATTTAACACAGGTGTGAGTGAAATATTTTCGAGAAACATATTTTAGTGACTTTTTTTTTCTTGCAAACAAAGTTAAAATAATGATGGCTAGCCCGGTCCCTTCCCACAGCACCTCACAATAGGCTGTGGGACGAGGGACACAGGAATTAATTAATTGAATTAATTAAAAGTAACAGAAAGGTGGACTTGATGAACTGGCCTTGCAGGAGGAGGTACAGGACTCTCTGTTCCCGCACCACCAGACTCACTAACAGCTTCATCTACCAGGTTATTAGGGTGCTGAACTTTCTCCCCTCTATAACCACCAGGCAGCCAAGAAGCAGGAATCTGCAATCCCCTACTTCTGGAGGCTCTTGGAATGCATATTTAATGAACTTACCAGGTTCAGCAGCCATGATGTCAGACATCAGGAAACATCACATCTGAAAAATATGAGAAGTAATTCTATGACTAATCATGTACAGTGTAGGGATGGGACAAGATCTCGTAGCACCAGAGTGTGCTCACACGGGAAAAATGATTTCACGAGATTTTAGCCTCAGTGTTTACATTTGGCACGGACATGAAAGGGTTACGCCTCCCTCATGCTCTGGAAAGTTGCGTCTCTGTGAGCAGCTTTAGCTCAAAAAACACTCCACACAGACATGTACCTCACACATTCAGAGAGAGAACACTTTAATCTCTGTTATAATCGCCGTAGTTTTTTTTTTGGTAGTGATAGGACAAATATTGATGCAAATAAATTGCCAAAGTTGGTTAAAAAAGATTGCAAAATAATATGATCAAATATTCACTTGTGTAATTCACCAGTAATTCAGACAGTTTTCCACACTTCAATATTGTTTATAAAAGATCCACAAAGAGATATTTAGACCTTCTTCATCCAAAATATAGTTTAAAGTGAGAAAGAAGGAGAGAGAAGTGTTCCTCCTCTGTCTGTGTCCCTCTGCACGTGAGCGTCAGAGCAATGATAGTGGAGGAGAGGAGCTGGAGCGACGGGAAACAAAGGAGCAGTTTTAGTGGGCGAGGTTATACTGCAGAACTGGTGTTTAAAGCATAAATGATGTTTAATGCATTTAGGCTGTTAAAAACATATCATGAAAATGGCTTGATATAGTTTTTAAAATGACCAAATTAACAAGTAAAAACCCATTCAACACACTCTAGGCTATATTAAATAAATAAATAAACCAATTCAAAATCATGTGACCAAAATCCTAAATTGATCAGATTGTAAATGATTTCAAATTCTCATCTGGATCTTGTAGACCCTGTCTCGTTTCTTGTCCCACCCCTAGTACAACATGTTTAGATGATCAAAACAAGCATGAGACTGTGTAAAATAGATATAATACTTTTCTGATACTGACCTTATTTGTAATCAGTGATATTAAATTCAAGTATTAAAATGACTCTTCACGGGTTTTAGGCTAATAATTCCTCATTTAAAGACCTCCGTGAGTACTTTATCACATTCAAAAGACGTACTATTTGGATTTGAACTGTTTTCTGCTATGACTTAAAACCCATAAGGATTATATAGATGTAAGTCAGTGCACTACATGATATGTCCTTCTGACCTACTAAAGCAATCACATTTAGAACTGAAGCACTATTTTGTAATTTTTTACATAGGAAAAGCCTTTACTCACCAACTGAATTCTTAATGCACCATAACTCAGAAGAAAGTTAAAATGGAGCCTGTTATACAAATACCTGATACCAGGAAATGACAAGATGTTTATTCTGTAGAACAGGATAAACAATTACCATATTACCAACCTTTGTCCCTCCTCTTCTCTCTCTGTCCTTCTATCTCTCTCTCACTTGCTCTGTCTTTCGTCTCTCAGTTGTGAGGAATTACAGTAGAATATCATTCTGCACATTTGAATTTTGAATTACAGTTTTGTAGTCCTCAAGAAAACTTCAACTTTAAGATTTAACAAACATAAGTACACCAGTGTGTTTCCTAATGAACAGCTAACAAACATTTACACTGTGGATTTGCTTCATTCTTCAGCAGTATTTCTTGTTCTCTCTAGTTTCTCCAACATATTGGATTTTGTTGCTTCGTGGATAAACTGTCCACACTGAGAGATAATGCCTCCACTGGCCATGAACCCTCACCCCTAGAGTTCAAAGGTTAACTTCAATGGTTCAAAGGTTAAAGGTCAAATTCAGAGCACAAGACCAGGAAGTGAGAGCAACAAATGAAGGGTCAGACAGGTCATGGCCTCAGCTCATGTTCTACACCAGATACTGGATCAAGAAAATCATCCATCCATCCATTTTCTTCCACTTTATCTCAGAGGCAGCAGTCTGAGCAGGGAGACCCAGACTTCTCTTTCCACACACACTTCCTTCAGCTCTTCCAGGAAAATTCCCAGCTGAGAGATATGAGCCTCATTTCTCTTTCCTCCTTTCCTTCTCCATTTTATAGCTGTCAATCAAATGCATCACATTAAGTGGTGTCCCAAAACTCAGGAGACAAAGAAACCACAGGTGAAACTTGAGTGAGGGTCCAAATATTTGTCTTACAATGAGAAGTTTATGTTGCAATTACACAAGTACAGGGGCAACAGCAAAGGATGTTTGAACAAAAAATATATTCAAACAAATGTATCTAAAACCAAAGATACTGATCTCACATTGATTTAAAGGTCTTGTAATAATAATCCTTAGTAACAGTCCTCACTCAGAGTCATTTTGGTCTCCCTCCTCTGCTCCTTTCTCCTCTTCTCCTCACTGTGTCTCCTCTGTGGGTGGAACGTTCTCACCCATTTCCTGCAGAATCAAGGAGAGGGAAGAGAGGAATGAAAAATGAGATGCAGCTATAGTCCCTCCAGTGTGTCCTGGGTCTCTCCAGGGTGGCTCCAGGAGGTATCAGGAACAGATGCCCTCCCCTCAGCTGCTTCTCGTGGCATACAGAAGCAGGAGCTCTACTCCGAGCTCCTCCTGTGGACTGAGCTCTTCACCCTATCTCTAAAAGAGGATCCAGCCACTCTGCAGGGGAAACTCATTTTGACCATTGCATCCATCCTCCATTTTGTCCTTTTGACCATTACCCAAAGCTTATGACCACAGGTGAGAGTAGGAGCGTAGAGTGAGCGGTAAATGGAGAGGATGGCCTTTGAACTCATCTTCTTCACCATAACAGTCCGATACACAGCCTGCTGCACTCATCCACCTGTCAAACTCATGCTCCATCCTCCCCTCTCTTGTGAACAAGGCCACGAGATAGAGAGTGCCTCCACTTGAGACAAAAAACACACACAAAAAAAATTATAATATTTGTTCTCCGGACAGTGAAGGCTCTATAATTCAGCTGATGTAAAGCCAGTGTTAGGAAGAATACTTTTACAATGTATGCAGCTGAATATTTTCACAATGCGATCTGTTATTTGTAGCACCCGTAAAACCACTCTGTATGTTCCTTATGTGACAATGAGTGGATGTTAGTTACAGGTGAAAACCACAAAGGTGCAGCAATATTCTAATATTCAGCCAAACCTTTAAAAACAAGAATAATGAAAGAGCAATTGTAGGAACATAACACTGACTGGACTTATACATTTGTGGATGTCTTAAACTTCAAATTTTGCAGATCAGTCTCCGCTTTCACAACCCCCCCAATACATGGCCACTGCTCTGTACTTAATTTGTTCTACAATTTATTATTTTCCTAATCTGTGATACATGTAGGGTTCAGTTGCCTTGTGTAGTCATTTTGGTACAAATGAAAAAAATCTGCAGCTCACTAGTGTGATGTGCAGCTATGGATGTTCCAGTAGAAAAGTTCTATATCTCCTGATGATCATTTTCAGAGCCTGGTGAGTTGATGAAATACAGAAAAAAGGTTTATTGTTTGTTAAAGCAGATAGGACAGGGCTTAAGGCAGACCAACAGCCTTTCCACCTTTCCCCTGACTATCCTCCAGAGCAACTGAGCTCTGAATATTTCTACAGAAATACAAGGATACAAGGATGCAGAGTGACTTTTGTTTCACAGCTATGAATTAATCAACAGACTTTCATGTGGGATGGGGGCAGTGTCTACTGAGCCTTTACACGTGTTTATATCCGGTCTGAGTCTCTGACACAGACCAAATGCATTTATACAAAGACATACGATAAGAATATTTTCTTCACAACATGAATAGACATACACATTTCCATCACAATTTCTTCAACACTTGGGCACTTTTGCGCCCTGCCCCTGTTTTCATTTCAGTGTATTCTCCTTCTGATTTCAGATATAGACACACACCATTTGTAGCTCAGAAAGGTAGATTTGCATAATTGCTGATCTTGACTGAACCTCTCTTTCTCTAAAACATTTAAGTGCAGGACAGACGGCAGTAAAGAGCCACCTGCTGGTCATAAAACTGTCACTACACCTCCATATTTCAGGTTTAATGCACATTATCTCAGAAATGAGTTCAGAGAGACACTCGTTTGTGTGGTTTGATGAATGAAAAGCACTATCAGTCGACAAAATCTCCATTAGTCTGGTTAGCAGTCAGTCAGGTCCAACTAATCTGTAGATTATAGTAGTAGTTATATTATGGGTACAGGCAATATACAGTTATATCTTAGTATCTTAATGGAATTAAAATATGTCTAAGTAAAACAAAAATGTCTATATTTGGGGAAATCCAAAAAACACTTAACCCCACATAAGGTGGGGTACTGCAAAATTGTCTTTTGGGGGCTTTATGTTCAATGTTGTTTCCTCATCAAAAATTTGAACCCTATTTGTGATTATCTATTTTTCATGAATATACAAAAGTGTGATACAAAACAATAAACAATACAGCTTGAGCTGAGGACCTCAGGGACCGACCTCCTGCTGGTGCCCAGAGTCAGAACTAAACAAGGGGAGTCAGAGTTTCAGGTTCATGCAGCTAAAACCTGGAACAGTCTGAACATGTGAGACAGACTCTTCTGTGACGCTGTTTAAATCCAGACTCTAAACATTTCTGTTTAACTGTGCATAAAACTGAAAGGTTTTCATTCCGCACTCTTCTCTCCAATTTATGTCTCTCTTTTTTAATTTTAATCTTCATGATTATTTATGTTTTGATTTGTTTTATTATGATTTTAATGTATTTCTTATTCTGTAAAGCACTTTGAATTACTTTGTGTACGAATTGTGCTATACAAATAAACTTGCCTTGCCTTGCCTTGCCTTGATAAACCTTTGATGTGCAATAGTTTCATTAGTGTGATTGTAATGTGAGTTTGCTCTGAACGGGGAGTGACTTAATGTGGAGTTTTGCATTTGGCGAATGTTGCATTCTCAAAAAAGTAAAAGAGAATATGATAATCTAAATGTTATGTGATCAGCAGTTAATAGCCCCTCTTTAAAAGAAAAAGTGCAGAGTAATTTTCTACTA